ATGATTCCTTAACAGACTTCTAGTATCTTGCACAAACCCTCTTGGGGTTGAAAACCGATTATCCAAAATTTCCAAGTAAAACTAACATTTCTTATGCACATCAGTAGTTTTATCAGATCAATATGTCTTTTCATATTTATAAATCAACTTCCAAGGACAATTATTGTCATTTTCCAATATAAGGGTATTTTCGTAATTTTACCCTACTAGAGTATTCTCATAATTTCCCATCCAAGTACCTCTAATGAAATAAATCATATGTTACAGATCCAAGCTGATTCCTTTATACTAAACACAGAACTTGTAATTTTAATTCTAACAATCCCTCAATTTCTTATAAAAATCATGTGAGCCATAATCAGTTACCGAATTCTTATCGTAATCAGATCGAGTGTAGAAATTAATTAACTACACATATGAGACCAATATTATCTTATTCATGCATTTACCAATATCAACCTGTTCCATAAAGCGTAAAGAGGTAGTAAAATATTACCTCGATTTCTGTGCTATATTGATCAACCATTAAATTCCATTTGAACGCCCTCGATCTTGAAATCATCTTCCAATAATTCCTCAGATGCATATCAACGGAGATTACATAATTCTGAAAAAACGGATCGAATCGGGTGATAAATCAGTCAAAAACAACTTACCGGGTTCGAGTTTTGGCAAAATGGACCCCAAAAACAGATTCAAAACATCAAAAACATAAAATATGACTTTTCAAAATTTTTGACTTTTCGGTTAAAGTCAAAGTCAACGGGTTTGACTAGCAATTTTGAGGCATTCGGGTCCAAATTTGAAAAACGGACTGCGGAATCGGACTCATAACGTCAAAAAACGTCAGGTTAGGTATACCCGGTCAAAGTCAAAGGTCGTTCAACGCCCGGTCAACGACGGTCAAAGTTCTGGTCAACAGTGGTCAACGCCGGTCAACGCCTGTCAACGGTCAACAGTCGACCATTTCACACAAATATCACCCTAACAAAAATTAATTACAAAATTAGCAATTTTTTACAAATATTTACAAAACTAACACCCGAATTTTACATAAATATCACCCTAACAGAAATTAATTACAAAAATAACACCCCCAATGCGCAATGACGGCACGTGAACAGTGATACGGTGTCGGAAAATTCTCAGAAAAATTCCTAAAAATTATTTTAAGACATTTTGAGACACTTACCGAGCTCGGTTCACAATTTTGAACGTCGGAGAGCTCTATTCTGAAACATCGAAAACTTTGATTTTCTCACCCCTCCACGCGCTGGCGACGACGGAGAAACAGAGGACACCGGCGGACTCAGAACGATTCAAGGAACACGATGGTGCGGGAGGTGTCGAAAACGGATGGTCGGATCGTCGTGAATCGACAAAAAACCAACTGAAATCGAGTTAATACCGATGATACTTCCGACTGAAATTAACGACAAACGACGATAATTCACGATGAAAGGTTTGAGGGGTTTTGTTCATCGGTCAACAACAAATACGATGATGGTTTCGGTTCGTCGATCGGAGGTCGGACGGCGAGTAGATCAGAGTTGAAAGAAGGGTCAATGGGGGAGGGAAAACTGAAAAATCTCTACTGAACATACGGGGAGAGATTTATATTTCTCTCCAAAATAAAAATGGATAAATCATGGGTTTAGTCACTGAACTTCCTGCACTTATTAAAATGGTATTCTAACTTTGCGCTTTTACAATTTAATCCCCAAAATTCTTCCAAAATACCAATTAAATTCACCATTTTATATTTTTTTAAATAGCCCCTAAATTGTGGTGTTACAAGCAAAGTGAAAGGCAAGGAAAAAGTCCAAGAGTAATCGGATATTGACATTAAGGCATACTAGAGAGGCATACTAGAGAGGCATACCAGGTGAGTGCATTTATTATGTACTTATATGATATGAGGACGACTTACGATGAGTCAATCTCGAGTACTTTTATTTAAATATGTTTTAAAGCATTTTGAAATATTTTCATAAAGTTTATGAAAATGGTTTTATGTATGCATGTGATGATTTTTCACGTGTAGGTAATAATGTTCGATTGGAGTGAGGAGTGCATTCAATATCATCTGTCAAGGATTGCCTCATCAGTAACAATATGACATTTTTAGATGTTTATTTTGTTATTACTAGTCGGCATATACTTAAATATTATATGATGCTCTGATAAGACATGTGGTATTTGGTTTGTAGTACTATATTATATTCGAACTTAAGCTACTATGTGATGGGTTTCAAAATGCTATTTATATTAGTAGTCAATGAACGAACATTTTAAATATTATAATATTAAATCATTTTATAAATAATATTTTATTAGTTTTCAAGTATAATAATGTTTTAAAAGTCATGTGACAATTATGATTCGAGTATGAGGTCGTATACAGGGAATGAGTGTTACTTTTCTTATATGTTATGTTAAATATTATATAAAATTTTGAATAAATATTAGGTTGATTAATATAATTATTACTTTTTTTTTTAAATATCAACAAATGTAACTTTTTATTAGTTTATGATGATTACAATATATAATATATATTTTAAAGACTCTCAATTATTTTATAATAAATGTAACTTTCATTTACCGAATCTTTGTTTTCTTTGGATGGAAATTTATGATTGAGCTGAAAATTCTCCCCTATCAGTAACCAGAAAACTATAATTACGAAAATTTAAAATTTCGTTTTTTAAAAAAGTTCAATTATTGTTTAAAAATATTAAAAAATATCAAATATAAAATTTTAATTATAAATTGTGAAAATAAGATATTAAACATTGAGCAACGTGTCAAGTCATCCACTTAATGACATATATTTTTTTAAATTTTTAGATTTTTTATTTTCAAAATGTTTATTTAAAAATATTAAAAAATATCAAAAATGAAAGTTTAATATAATTAAAAGAAAATATAAAATATTAATCATTGAGATAATGTGTCACGTCATTTCTTTAATGCGGGCATGTAATGTCCTAGTCATCATGTTATAATAGTTTAATAAATTTAATAATTATTCTACATTTTTTTTGGAAGTTAATAGACCAAAACAATATGCAAGAAATAATTTAGGAACTACTAGTCTACTTTATCCTTTGAAGAATAACAATGAAATTTCTTTTCATAACTAATAGGGTTGAGGAACGAAATTAAGAAAATAAAAAAAATCGATTCGAATCAAATTATTCGATTCGGTTTAATTAGGTTTTTTAAATTTGCAATTTCAATTTTTTTATGTGGAAACCGTTTGAAAAAAATTAAACCGAATTAAAATAAATAAATAAACTAAGTATCTAAAACACATTCACATTGAATTTATTATAATACAAATTTTAAAAAATAAAATATTAAAACTAAAAATATTTTTTTATAAATTTAAATTTATATATCTGTATTCAATTTAAGCTTTAATTTTGACTTTTTTTTGAGGTTGAGTTTAAAAAATAGTAAACAACCAAATAACCCAAACCGAACCGAACCAACCCGAATTGAAAAACTTGATTTTTTATGTCATTCAATTTCAGTTCCCATTTTTAAAAACCCGTAAAATATGATTTGATTCATATTTTACTGAAAACCGAACCGAACTAATACACCCCTAATAACTAATGTTGAATTTTTCTGAGTGAATTTTACTGTAAACAATTCCATGGTAATCTCAATGAAATTTCTTTTGGTGATAGACTGATAGGATATATAGTATTAACGGATAACACTTTCCTCGTAAGAATAAAAAACTTCATGGTAGGATTCTAAAGGCTTACATTTTTAGGTGCTTATAAATTATATTTTAAATTAATTTTTTGTGTTTAATTTTTTATTAACAATAGGTATTTAATGTTTTTATTATATTTTTAAGAGCCTGCAGTTAAAAAATGTCAAGTTAAATGTGTCACATTTATATTTTTTATTTTTTAAAAATAAAATTATTTAAAAATATTATTTAAAAAAAATCTGAACGTGACATGTGTCATTTAACAAGTTTTTTAATAGTAGACATCTAAAAGGGTAACAAAGTAAATATTAGACAATTATTTTTAATGAAAAATTATGTAGACACCAGAAAGTCAATTTAAATAATAGTTAAGACACCTTAACTCCCCCTTACCCCATTGTATATGAGAATAAGGTTTTGTTGTTGTTGTTAAGACACCTAGGTGTATTAAGTCAATTCGAAATTAAGTTCACATTCATTGATCAAGTTTTAACATAATAACATTATCGAAATCCATTAGTAGTATTGTTTTTTTGTTGTTGTTATGAGTTTGAGTAATTATATTTACATGGTATATATATTATCAATAATTTATAAAAATATTATGAATATATATTACCTTATAATTATCCAAACTATTAAAAAAACATAATAGCATTAATGATATCGAATTTTCTAATTTATACAATTGATACCTTAATGTTTGAGTTTATATTTTAATTTCTATTTTATATTTTCTTTATTACTTTTTTTATCTTAATAAATTTGTCAAATTTTAAATTTTAGTAGTTAATTTCTTTTAAAATTTTAATTTTTTATTATGATAAGTATATTATTGATAAAAATAAAAATATATTTCAAAATCTATAAATAAAGTAGATTTTAAAAATATTAGTTATAAAATTTAATTAAATAAAATATTAAAATAATTAAACGATCTTAGTGGTTAAAAAGTTTATTGTTATTATTTGAGTTCTCAAATTCGAGCATTGCATATGCTAGGGAAATGAGAGTCTATTGTCAAATAATTGAGGTTTTTTTCTTTTATGTACTCTAAATTTATCAACAACAAAAATTTAAGGTCAAAGTTTAAAATTTTTAATAAATAATATCATCTGTGACATTTTTATTTGGGCAAAGAATTATTATTTTTACAACATATATTCTCCAGTTTCATTTTTTTAAATCTGACTTGCATCTTCAAATTATATCAATAACCATATATATATATATATTTCTTTAGAGCACTAAGAATTTTCCTTTGTTTGCTTTTGATGGTAACTGTAGATGCTCGATTTATCCGGGCCAAGTCAGAGCAAGCTCGAACCAATGGATTGGTTGGTTGGAGCTGTCTAACCATGCAACTGCTTTGATGTACTGCAATCAGAGAAAAAAGGATTTTCAGCCATGTATTATAACTGGTAAGTTATCGGCAGTTAATTAAAACAATTGAGGGAGCAGTTTGTAGAGAGTGGGGGTTTTTAATTTTGATTTAACCACCAGAAACAGAGACAAAGAGGGGGGCGACCAGAAAGAAAAAAAAAAAGGGAACACAAAAATTACAGAAAACATAATAGATTACACAGAGAAAAAAGAAAGATTACACAGAGAAAAAAGAAAGAGGAACCGGAGACCATTGTGAGAAAAAGCAAAAAAAAAATTGTTTTCCCATTCGTTTTTTTACACAACGAAGCATTCAAAACAAAGGCTGTGTAACAGGACTTTCCCATCTTCTTCGAAGGCAATAGAGATTCTTTTGAGGTATTTCTCGTACCTTCTTGATTTCTAGTGTGTTGACAGTGTGTATGTGTTTATTTCGAAACAAATGAGAAATGAAAAAATAGAGTATGTTATTTACCTTTAAATCAAATTTTTGTCATGGAGAATAGACAGCTTCGCCAGTTTCATCGGTCCGAGAAGGTAACTGTAGATTTTTAGGAGTTTGGAGTTAGTACCAGGTCGTGCATGTGTTTTGGAGTCCTGATTTTAGGCATAGATCAAAGGGGTCGATTTTTTAGAGTGAATAGCCAGAGAGTGAATCGAAAAACTACAAAGGAATTTTTTTTTAAAATCCATTAAAAATATTATGGGGCAACCATTTGAATAAAAAAGGTAACCACGATGCATAACAAAGATCCGTATTTTATCAAGCAAGGAAAAATCCATTCTTTAAGGCTTACATCTTCATTTTTTATAACGCATGTGTGTTCGGTTTTAAAGAAAATAAAAATGGACAATTAGACTTACCTGCGAATGGAGGCTCTCTGCGAGGTTTGTCAAAGAATGAAGCAGAGGTGGCCATGGATTTTGGCCCCTGGTTTCCATTGAAAAGATAAGCGTGAGGGAGAGAGTTGAAAAGGAAAGTGGAGAGTGAAGCTGCGGAGGGGTAAGTGTTTTGGGGGTTCCAGCGTGAATTAGCCTAGGATTAAGCATATAATTAGGTTTTATATCAAAATTGTTGGGGTAAATTAACTCTTAGTCACCATAACTTTAGGGATAAATTATTTTTAGGCCTTCTAGATTTATGTGTTTTTCTAAAACAGTCTCTCATTTGTTTAAATTTTCTTAGTTGTTTTAAATGTCTAGTGTCATTTATGTTATTTTTCATTTTATTTTAGTTTAAACCGAATAAGATAAATTTTATATCAGACCCTGTAATTTTAGTATTTTATATTTAGGTCACTGATTTATTTTTGATTTATAAATTTAATTTTACTTATATTTAAATTTAATCATTACATTTATGTATATATACACTTTTTAAATGTATAGTTTGGCATGTTATGTTTTTTATTTTTATATTGAGGTCACATGTGTACATAATATGTTAATATGCATTGATTTTTAATTAAAATATACATATATAATTTTTTGTATGTCACGTTGTATTATATTTTTAATTTAGTTTAATTAATTTTGGCATGACATCCACTTTTTGCATAATTTGCATGATACCCTCACGGGCATAACTCGACCTATTACATAATCGGACTAAGGGTAATATCCTTTTAATTTAAAATTGTCTTGAGCGGCCTGTCTTAACTGATTAGAGGGTCGTTATGACCATTTTAAGTTAAAAGTGTATCCCGAAAGTGAAACCAAAAATTGATTCGTCACCTAAAATTTGGGAACGAAAGAAAAGGAAATGTTCGTTTATTTAAATTTATCGAGAAAAAGTTGTTATAGCTTTTAAGATATGGTTTCGATATTTGTAAATAATCGAACATTCTTTATCTTTCTAAAATGACTTGGTAATTTTAATTTAATTCATTTGAGTGCTTTTGAATGTTTTTAAATTTACATCTTTGTTTTATGGGATAAAAAATCAAATTAAATTAAAATTTGTAAAGTTCATTGCAAAGACATTAATTAATCGACTAGGTACCGTTTTAGGGCGCTGTGGAGGTGCTAATCCTTCCCCGCACGTAACCGACTCTCAAACTCGGATTTTGGTAACGCAGACCTTAACTTGTTGTTTTAATTAAAATTAATTTTTATTTAAAATAACAAATATTTTTGGGTGCCCAATCACACCCTAATCAAAGATTACTCTTTGAACCGTATTTTTTGCGATCGTAAAGGAAATCTAAAATTTTTCGAAACGAGAGGTTTTTAAATCGCATTTGTTTTTAAATTAAACATCAGTTGAAATAGGTAAATTAAGAATTAATGTGGTTTTCAAAATCTCACTTTTTTTATCTTTAAGAAAAAAATCGTTTCGACAATAACATCATCGGTCGTTGGCCAAACGATTATCACTAATATTTTTCCTTTATTATGTTTTCGTTCATTTAATTTTTTTTCCTTCCTTTCTTTCCATCATCTTAATTTTTTGTTTTTATATTTGAGTTTCTATTTTTATTTAATAAATCTTTCATCTTTTATAAAAATATTGATTTTTTTAAATAATAAAGAGATAAAACTAGAGGACCGACAACTAGCGGTTCCTTTGTTACATCATACACTTTTGAGCTTTGTCTTTAACATGTTGTCGGTTTGCATGGACCGTACCGTTCGTGTTGAGCTTAACCCATCTGTTTGGCGGGGGTTTCCAAGGAAGAAAGTGATTGATCGGCTGTGCGCCTATTTCCGAATCTGCAACACATAGATGAAGCACATGTCTTGCCTCTATTTGAAGTCTACAACTTTATTGAAACACAATACCATCAGCTTTGTATTCCGAATCAAACAAACTTTGGTTTCTCCGCATCCAAAGACTCCAAAAAAGTGAACCAAAAAGGATATTCCAATCTCTCGCATCATTTTGAAAGTACCGAGTCTAAGTAATTTTCAATGTAATCCGCTACCCCACTTCCGTTTGTAAGAATTCATGATACCTTAATGGAGAAATTAACATGCTCCAAGTAGCTCAAGTAGTCGCATAATCCTCGAGTATATATGCATTGGATTTGTTCATGTCTCCACAAATGGTACACCCCGCATCTGTAGCCAAATGACGAAAAAATCTTTCTTCATTTGAGAGTAGTTTCCCTTTGTTTATGAGCCAAATTAACATAAGCATGCATTAGAGGCCCCGATACTTAGCCAAAACTCCCCACTGATTTGATAGCACCAAGTTTCCCTCATCCACTCTTCTCGTGTATGCCCTTTTAGTTGTGAACCACCGATGATTACCCCATTTCCATCCTGGATTATCAACTCTTCCATGAGCAAGTGATGGTCTAACCGCCTCAAAGTGAAGAAGAACTAAGGGAGGAATGAGCGAATGAATAGAATGTCAATCCCACTCCCCATTCGAATTTACCATATCACAAAACTTTAATACATGTTGGAATATGAGAGTTTTGCAACGTGGGTAGATTGCAGAGTGGGTTAACATCTCTCAACCACTTATCGAACCAAAAGTCAGCAGAAGAACCATAACCCAAGTTCCGAACTATTCCATTTCTGATTTCACTCCAACTTAGATTAATTCCACTCCAAATCTGAGAGCATCCTCTACGCTCAATGAATTCTGGTACAAATTATTTATTTTTGTATTTTTCTCGTATCACACGAGCCTGAAGTTGATCTTTATTAGCCACCAAAAGAAATTCCATCTTCATAAGTAAACTTCATTCTGAAATTTCATTTTTCGAATATCAAAGATAAAGATTAGATTATCCAATCTAATTAGTCATTCCAATTATACCTCGTACAAATCTTACCTTGTGTACACATTTGACTTTCCTTATCTTTGTAAAATTAGATCTTTTTGTAATCTTATATATACCCATCACTTGTAAATGTTAAAATTATCAAATAAAGAAATCCTTTATATGGTAATCAGAGCCTAGTAGAATTTCTTCACTCAAATTTCCACTCTTCTTCTTTTCTTCAAATAGATATCCTATAATGGCTCTATTTTTCACCACCAACAATATTGTGCACACAATGTACCGACAAACTTCCTAATCAAATTTACGTCTACCTACTTTCCTATTTGGCACACTCAATTTTAGGCTCATAGGTTATATTGATGGTTCATAGCCTCCCCCATTTTAGTTTACCGATGTTGTAGCAAAGATTGATAATCCTGAATATATGCAATGGAATCATCTGGATCAAATTCTTATCAGTGCTCTTCTTGGTAGTTATGATGATCTAGTTCAACCTCTCATTGTATCCGTTGTCACTGCTAAAATTGTAACACCTTAAATTTTAGGTTAGGAGTTTAGGGTTGACTTGATCGAGTTTTAGATGAATAAAATAATCAATTAAGAAGTTTTGGGCCAAATATGGGCTTAATTAGATGTAATTTGGGCCCAATTGGCCATAAAAATAATTTTTATATTTTAGACAAATTAGGAAAGACCAAAATTGCAATTATCTCTTTTATGAAAACAAAGTTTATATTTTAGGATTTTGGAGTGTCTGGGCATGAGATTAGGGGCTAAAAGCTAATTTTTTTAAACTTTTACACTTTACCTTCTTCTCTCTCATTTTCTTCTCCATCCTTTCTCCCCAAGTGCCATAGCTCAAAGGTAAGTTCTTGAGCATTTTCCATGTTTTCTTTAGACTTCAAATATGTCCTTAAGACTTCTAGCTATGTGGTTTTGGATTAAAGACTTTTATTTCTTTTTTATTAAAGAAAGTGGGTGTTGAGTACTCAAGTTCAAGAGGAATATGAGAAAATAAGAGTAGAGTAGAAAGGATGCTCATATCGTTATGTTAGCATCAAGGTAGTGTGTTTCCAATTCTTTGTGGTGTTATGACTCCAGTAGATGTGATGCTTGTTGAAATATTTGAGTAGTTGACCATATTATGAGGTTTGGTCGATTTATGCTTAGATGACATTTTTGGTGTAAATATGATGTTTTTATAGTGCTAAATGACCCTAAATAACTCCACAATCTTTAGAACATGATTTGGTATAAAACTAGAGTGTTTGGGAGGATTTTTAGTGGTTCTCGAGCCTATTTCTAGGTTTTTTGGGTTGATGTATCGATACTGTATGAATATTATTGATACTGGATGAAATGAGATATTTTTTGAGCATTTTATAAGAGGGAGTATCGATACTACTCCTCTGGTATCGACACTGAGGGTGTCAGTATCGACACTAGGGGAATATTTGGCAAATTTGAACCTATTTTTGGCATGGATACTCAAAGAAGAATCGATACTTGCCTAGGGAGTATCGATCGACATGTAAGGTATCGATACTACTTGTTTTATATGCTTAAATTTGACTTTGTTAAGTCTTGTAATAGTTAGGGATGATCTGCAATAGTGAGATTTATCTTGAAAGACGCTTAAATGGTTAAAAGTGACTAGAAACACTACTAGGAGTGGGTTATGACTGAAATAACCTTAATGGGTGAAAAATTCCAAGTACCCTGGATCGAGCACATATCGAGTAACTGCGAATGAAGGATAATCACGAAGGGTGTGGAAGTTGCCTTATAGTTCAAGGGTGAATTAAGCATAACTGTGATGCGAGTGACTAAATAGCAATAACGAATATTAAACCCAAGTCGAGCCCAAAGTAGTAAATAAGACACAGTGTGTAGTAGCAATAAAAATAGTCGTAAAATCGTAAAATGCTAAAGACCTCTTTAAAGGGGAAAATGACCATAATGCCATTTGGTGCTAAAAGACTAGAATAATGTGGCCAAATGAATTAGTAGTTATAAAAACTCTAATAAGATCTTGCATAACATTCTAGGTGAGAGAATGAACAAGATAATAGTAAGTGAGGGGATGATCTAAACTACTTCTGGTTTAATTGATAATAACGATGAGATACCAATGTGATAATAATGTTATATGTGTGATAACCATAAGAATCTTATGAGTTAAAATTCCATAAGACTTATGCATTTGTTTGACACACAAGAAAATAATGAGGTACTCCCTTATTGGTATATACGATGATCATCTTGTTTATATGA